TCATTAAAAACACCAGAACGTAGTTTAGGAGCCTTCTGAATATGTAGACAATTTCTTATTTAAGGATGACAACACAAAATAACGCTTCAGAAAATATTATTTATCATGTATAAAAATCTGTTTAGTAACACAGATCAGTAATAACTGTTTATCAGTGTAATGAGGATTTAATTTGATAAGATTATATGCTTTTGAACTATTGAATTCATGAAATGATTTTGACTTGGCCTTTGAAATTCATCATTACAGTCATATTTATTTCAGTGTTATGCATGCATTAAAAACACCATAATTATTTTACAAAAAGTACACACGCAGAGTTTTCACAAATTTAATGTGCTTATCTGAATGTTCTGCATTCGTTTGTACGTCTTTACTGCATTGCCTAATTGACTGATTCTGTAATTACAAATGTATAGTACTTGCTGTATGTATATGCTTGCAATTATTGAAAGCAAATTATATGTATTTTGTCCCACAGTATTCAGTTTATTCTATTGACTTCAGACCTCAATGTCGAAATTCTGGAAATTATTTTAACCAAAAAACGGTAGTGGGAACCATGCATAAACAACTCATCTAACTTTTCAACAATAGTGATTATGGGGGAAAAAAAAAAAAAAAAAAATGTCAAATGATATTTAAACTCATTATGTTACATATATCTTTGGCAAACATTCAGATTTTAACTTGCGTTTCTAAATTATTATTTATTTTTTATTAAATTTCAATATGCTAATATGATTTTCATATTACATATGAAATATAAATATAATTTTCATATTACATTACCCTAATTTCTAGTAGCTCAGGGAAACAAAAATCTACGTGTTAAATTAGAAGCGAAATCTAAACATCCATCCGCATTGGTGATGTTTGGCGATGGGTACATTAATCCTAGACCAATTTAATTATAGCTATTATGACAGAAATTAGCAGATACTTAGATTATTGTATACAAGAATTTCACTTTACTTGCACATTATAAACATTTGAGAAAATACTATTGGAAAGAGGGTGAGTTTGAACACCTAGCAAGCACCGGACCACAACACAAATAGAAGAAGATACAAATTCTAAATGAAAAAGTAAATATGTAATATTATATACATACTAGTAAGTATAATATTACTTAATATTATACTTACTAGGCAAAGCTGAGGACCTGACCCAATTATCTCTTCGGCAATCATTTACCCAAATTTTTATTTTTTCTTCATTTTTAGGAAATGTTACCAATATATGACCTTTCCGTGAATGATTTGAGCAATTAATAGCTGCACATCCGCCAATTTTTCACACATGCACACACACACACACACCAACAGGAAAAAAAAAAAAAAAAAAAAAAAAAAAAAAAAAAGAAAGGAAATTTTGCACCCCTAACTATGCAGCATCGGCGCTCTTAGAAATTCTTATCCTATAGATGTCATCTCCGTTGTAGCCCAGAATTAGTTAGTTGGTTAGTTGAACAGTTCAGCTTTGGTTCATGTGATTTTATTGAGCTGCTTTTCTGTGATTACAGCTTTAAACTGCTTTATGAGTAAATTACTCCTCGCGTAGTAAGGAAATTTTGCCTTATATGCGTGTTTTTCTTCTTGAGCTATATGCAGTTCTTAACTTTTCTGTATGAGGTGTTATTTTATTTCAATAAAATATCAAATTCTTACTATTCACTTAGCGTAATTTTTAAGGAGATTTCTGCGAAACGTAGTACGCAACACTAATGACATTCATAGTGTTACGAATTTGGTATTTAAAAAGCTAAAGTTAGTTCAATTATAAATTAAATGGTTTTATTTCTCGCGCAGTGCAGCGCGTGACGAATATTAAAACCATTTAATTTATAATTGAACTAACATTAGCTTTTTAAATACCAAATTCGTAACAAACATTAATAACTGCATACAAATTAAGATTGTGTATATATTTCTTCATTAACCGTCGTTTCATATTTTCGTTTTGTGAGTAGATTAACTTTGAGCTCGTAAAACAGCATTTTAAAATTCTGTAAAATCGCCAATCAAGCTGCATCACCGAATAGTGTTTTAATTAATGTATTATTTGCCTATTTACAGAACTTTAATAGCTGTTTTTAATGATTATGTATTTTTAGGTTAGCAAGTTCATATATATGTTAAAAAATATCTAGAATTTAAGCTTAGAGATTTTAGGTGATTAAGATTTTGGCAGATTTGTAAGTGTGTTTTATTTTATGGTAAAATTTTAAGGAAAAGGTTGCGTTTTGATGATTCGTGTAAGTAGACAAAATACTAAATACTAATTCCAAAGAAAAAGCAACGCTGAAATCTTTTGACATCCTCTTGGATATACATATTTTGACAGCGATAATAGACGTATCTTTATAATTACAGCCGTGAACTGTCGTTCTATCAACAAACCACAAATCAAATGCTTACAGAAGGAGGAAAATCAGCTTATGTCAATTTTTTCAAAATGTGCTTGCCGAATAGATCCAGAAATATTTTTTGTCCAGTACATCCACAAATTTTAGGTTCGAAAATCAATATTTTTCTGATTCTTTAACTGCAGTGCACAGATATCGTTTGCTGTAAACAATGATATTAACTGAAAAGTATAAGACGCTTAGTAAATTCTGGGAAGGAGGAAAACTGCCGTTGAAATCTTCAGAAATTCAGTCTAATAGTTGAAAAAGAGAATTTGCTGTTAAAAATATTTAAAAATTAAATATATAAAATATTTAAAAAAGGAAAAAAAATTATACGAATATTTTGCTCATCTTCTTAAATAAAGGCTGCTTATAAAAGCAAAATCTTTATTGCTGAATAATATTAAAATTCGACGCACAAATAATTTTATTTTTGAAAACTGAGACATTTACTTATGCATTTCTTTTTCGAACTTTAAATGTTATGAATAGGAAAATAACAAAATATTAAATATATTTCTGTTTAGAAAGTCCTCTATGATGGCATCCATCTCCTTAGATAGATCGACTTCGTGCTTTGCCCGTAAATCTAAGTTATCCAGCCTTATCGACAACGCAGGATTGGAATCGCATAAAACCGATATTGTTCAGCAGTCAACAGTGCTTCTAACCGACTTTTATTAGAGTAGTTACTAGATTCCTATATTTAGAGTAGTTACTAGATATTAGATAGATAAGACAATTATTAGATTACAATTATTAATAGATTGTACATTAAATTTTCCTGGCCATCGGAATACCACACTTTAGTAAGATGGACAAAATGTTTATATTTTTAAGCAATAAAGTAACTAAGGGTTCTGTAATACATAAATTAATAACTGAATTAACAAGGCCAATTATATTGTTAGATGCCTTTAGTAGAAGAGATACGAAACTTTTGTCTGTTCCAAGTGAAACTGAATTAGTATTAAGTCTTTGTAGAATGGGTTCTCGTCTGTTAGTAATCCGTGTAATGGATGGATAAATGAGCCGCGACTGCAATTTATGAAGCTTGAATTCAAAATTTAACAATAAACCCATTTATTTAAAAGACAAGAATTTTGCGTTCCTTTCATTAAAGGCCAGAGTTTCTTACATACTGAAATGATCAAAATCGTAATCAAATATTGTCTGCCCACAGTGCCTTCTGTAGAGAAATATTTATTTCACACTTTGGAATTAAAGCATGTTTGAAAGAATTAGGAGAAACCTAGAAATAATACATATATTAACACCATACTAAAACTCCTAATGTATTTTTTAGATTCACCAGCGATCAACGGCTGGTTACTGGTAGTTTGACCCGGGTTCGAATCCCACTGAACGAGCTGATTCATGGATGCTTTATATGTTTTCTCCATGTATAACATACATATCAGGTAGTTTTCCTTAAAACGTCCTCCAAAAGGTATCTCTTTCTTTTAGGTAGGTAACTCACATATACTTTTCCACATTCAAGTTAAGAAACTAAACAGACCTAAAATGCTTCGTAAGGAAAATAAAATTCAATCCTGCAGTGAAAGAAACAAAACTATTCTTAATATTGCACATCTAACATCACTGTCTTTTAATTGTTAAAATTGAATTTGTAGAATTCGGGGATTAAGAAAGGGACAAATCTTAAGTTCGTACAGGGTTACAAAAAATGCGCAAATGTTTCTTAGAAATTTAGAGTTATGTTCATGCATTTTAATTAATTGTGTTTAAAGTAATACTTTCCCATTCATGTTCAATGATCCGAGTCCCCTTATTATGAGCATCTTTCTCCCCTTATTCCATAAAAATGACTGTCCTTAAAATATACAGGCATTTCAGACTTTTACAACAAAAGCAACTTGACCCAGACTCATTAGAGACGTTTTTGAAAATCCATTCAGAGAATTACTGGTGTTATTTGTTCGTGACAGACTGCATGTGTTTTATAAAATTTGAAAACTTTTAAGAACTCTGAAGAAAATTAAGCTTCAATTACAGAGATAACTTTAAAGTACAAATAGCTAAGCTTTTTGAATTAATTAATAAAAACTTATTATTTCATACAAAGTTTTTTGTTCTGAAAAGTACGAATGGGAAAATTAAAGTAAATGAATATTTATTTGCCAATTTGCTTTCTTTATATTCCGCCCCTCATTTCTTTTTTTGCTTTCAGAAATGTAACAAACTATAATGCCATTAAACACATCGCCACGTTTCAACAATAGATTGGTCAGCTGCTCTTAAACAAAAAACTATTATAGAAGACAGATTTCTAAGAATAATATTTCTATGAATATTTTTCATTATTTTTTCCTTTAAAATAACACTTCACGGGTGAGGGATAAAATTAAAAAAAGTGCGAGCGCAATACAGCGGCGCGTAATAGCATGCGGGATTGCGGGGTCGAAAAGCTTCGGTTTGGAGCACCACTACACCTACTCCTATCACCCACCTACTATGAATCGAAAAGCCTTGAAAGATTCCAGAGAGGATGGATTTTTTTTCCCTGCATGAATACAGGGGCATAAACCGGTTCTCCAGGTTCCACTTTCCAACGACACGTCATCCGAGGTCAGAATTCACAAGAACTACGAAGGGTATTGCCGTCGACTTGTACTGGATTTGTTTGAAGAATTTAAGGATTGATTAAAGGGGCCTAAAAAGTTTACGAAGAACTAGAAAAGCAATTCTAATATGGGTAAGTACATGTGTTATAAATCGTATAAAATACTGTTTATTCACGAAAAATATTTGAAACAAATATCTTAGGTGTTGCGTTTGATGTTTTGAAATTTATCCGCCATTGTTGAAACATTCTCAGTTGCGCGGTTTTCATTTTTTGACCTTTTTTAGTATATGCTGTCAAGGGATGCAACAAAAACCTTTCGGCAGACGTGATTGTGAAGTTACACGGATAATATGCTTATAAATTTCAGAAGTATAAACGTAATGAAATTGCTCTGAATAGCAAATTTTAAAATAATGTAAAATATATATGTTTGCTCAAAAAGAAAAGAAAATGCAAGCCTTTTTAATCGGTTTTATTTACCGTGCATATGATTGAAAAGCTAATTAGAAATGGATAAGAAACTACTTCATTGACGAAATTTATCCAATGAATAAATATTTTTTTTGAAATTTTATGAAGTACCCAAAAGAAAAAAAAAAGTATTAAATTTTTTATTTATTAGTTACAAAAAATCGCATGAAACCAGTTTTTTTTAATATAAATATTTATCTCATGCTAATATAAATAAGCAGTCTTCTGCAGTGCGCAGGAAGTTGCTTTTAAGAAAGAGTTGAATATAAATAAACAATTAAATATAGTACATACTAATTAATTACTTAAGTGGTTCCATGAGGAGAACAAAAGAGAAGTAATTTGTAAAAAATATTTTCGTCGATTAAATAAATTTCTCATAAAGTATATATATTTTTGTGCTTTTGGTCAGCTTAATAAATTATCATTAAATAATTATCATACTTATATTACATATTTATGTAAGGCATTTAAAAAAAGTACAACATGAAACGTGCATTAATTTTTTTCTTTTGCAATAAATAGCAGTCTTTGTATTCTTAAGGAGTTAATTTAGTAAGGAGTGTAAAAAACATTGTTTTTGAATATACTTATATCTATGTTCATGAGCATAAACTACATACATAACAAAGTTTGACTATGTATGTGACTACATGCATGCTTTTGTTATGCATGTAGTACACGTTATTGGTTATTACTTTCATTACTACTAGTTTCTAGCTTATGTACTGATCTCCTTTCCGGGGGAAAAAAAAAGTTCCACATTAGTTTCTGTTTACATAATAATAATAAGCAATTCACTATCTTTTCAAATATATAATGTTTGGAATATAAACTTAGCCTTTCTTAGCTTGCTTTAATTACTTTGTGTGTGTGTGTGTGAATCATTTTTTTTTACAGGTCGGTAGAATTTGCGCATTTGGTCATATTCATTTATAAAACACAAGTTTCTGTATTATCAGTTGTCAAGAATACTGAAATATTCTTTGTATTAATTTTAAGTACTATTCTATGCTTTTGAAAGTAGATTAATTAAAGAGCCTGAAAAAATTGTGGACATGGCTATAGAAGTGCCAGCCAATTCAGGATTTCATGGTATGTGAATAGAGAAACTTGACAGTTTATTTTTTAATTCATCTTTCGAACTTCAAAATCTTCTATGATAGTTTTGTGAACAATGTCTTTACTGATATTAAGCTGTCGTTCGAAATGACGTGGCTGTTTTACATGGTACTGTAAATTTTTTCGATAGTTTCATCTATTTGATCCTGCGAACGGTGACTACTCTTGGGCTCATTATGAACAGCTTTGCATCAGTCAACGGAATTATCCATACAAACAAACAATGGATCATTTTAAAGCTTGATCCCTGTGCTTTATACTCAATTTTTCATAAATTTCCGTTGCTATTTTTAATATTTTACAACTAAACTTTTATTTTTTTTACTCAAATTTAAAATCCATGACAGGAGATGTTCATAGGAAACGGATCAAAGCAAATGATTGGCTGTGATCAAAGCTGTGTTGCAAAACAGACAGTATTTTAGGAAGTAAAGTCATAATTAACTATATAGAGAATTCTGCCCATAAGCAGATGATATTTTAGAAAAAGCAAGCTGGCATAGGAATGGTGTTAATTATTTTGACAGGTTAGCTGGACTGTGTAAATAGCGCTTATTTAGAAACCATCCGATTCTTTTCTTCTTTTGAGCATCCTAGAAGTCATTTTAGATTTTAGATAATTTTGCTTCATGAAATTTATCGACTTGTAAATTTTCAGGAAAGTCAAGATGTATTAATCAGTAGAGAATCAAAGAAAAAGAGTTTAAATGGTACCACATTAAAAAAGTCATTATACAGATATCATGCAGTAATGAAAACATCAAAAAGCATGCTGTACACATTACGTGGGAAAAAATATATTTATTTGTCTTTGAAATATGTGAATATTTTGGATAGAAATGTTTTGCTGAATACAACTATTTTCATTTGATTAAGTTTTATAGTTTATAACCTTTTTTGAAAAGTTTATAATAATACTATTACATAACTTGCTTAACGTTTAGCATTTTTTCGAAACAGGGAAGGAGGAGCATTGTAGTGTTATTCATCTGTTGAATTTGAGAAGTATCAAATGTATTTAGTAGCAAAAATTAGAATATTTTTTATTTTTATTCAGATCTCTTATTCTAAATAGCGTCGTGTATCCTTTATCGTTAGACAGATTACACACAGAAATTTATACATAACAGAAATCACAAAGCTACAGAAATTTATCAACAGAAATTTATACAGAGCAGTTAAAATGCTGTGCATTTTCTGTTGTGCTGTTCAAGTGGCTAATAATAATAAAAGCACATGGGCGACACAACAATTCTATTAAAAATCTCTACTTTCTGTCTTTTCTTATCTTAATTCCATCTGCTCGTGTTCTACAGAATATACCTCGAGTCTTACACAAGTTATATTAACATAAGAAACATAATTAAATAAAAAGAAAACTTAATAAATAAATAATAAAAGTCTAAATTCTTTATTATTTATTAGACTTTTATTATTAATAAATTAATAATAAAAGTCTAAATTCAAAATGAAATTCTGAAAAGCGAAAACTTTTCTTTAGTCCGTAAACGTTAAGAAAAAAATGGTAACCAAGGTACTGACAGGTCCGTTAAAGTGGCCTGAAGTATCTTCCTCTGTTGAACATGGTGAATGCAGTCAAGAAGAATATGATTAACATCTTCATTACCGCTACTGCAGGTGCACAAAGCACTCAAAGATCCAGATTACTTTAAATAACCATTGAAATTGCCGTGTCCTGACAAAATTTTAATTAATTTATAATCTGTTGAAAACTGATCAGATTTTATTCTATGAAAAAATGTAGGATAAAACACCAAATTCTTTTATCACAGTTCAAGCAGCTGAAAACTTTAGCATTAAACACCGCAACTCCTAATTTTTCTTGCATTATAAAACAAATATACTGTCTTTTCATTCTGATCGTATTTTTAGTCCAAAGGGGCAATTTGCCCAGAAGGACTATCGATTTCGTCTTGACATTTTGCATCGATTCACGATAAGCGTTGCTTCCCTTTTCAAATTGTTGTCACCAAATATTATCGCCTTGTATTATATTTAAAGAAATTAAGTAATGAAGAATCTGCATGAATGTATGTATGTTTCTCGCATTGTGATAAAACAACGGTACCTAGAGCCATCAAAATTTGCATAACGTAATCTTCCCTAGAATATGGGCATGTGGAAGCCCTAATTTGAATTTGAAATTTGTTTTATTATCGATTTCATATTTTGTAACACTTCAACGAATGTTTGATTAACAAACTAAACGATTTCAAAGCGTGCAATGGCAACACTGTACGAAAAAAAAATATCTCCAGCGCGCGAGACTATCGGAAATTCTAAAGGTATGCTCATTTTAAAATTATTTTGTGATATTGCTGTTGACTGAATTTTATGGTCTAAGTGCGAAGGACATGATAATTAATAAATAAAGGTAACACACAAAAAGTTAAAAAAACGCCCCTTTGGACGTAGTTTAAAATCTGAAACCTTTCAGACTTTTTTTTTTGGGGGGGGGGGGTCAAAAATAAATCTTTCATTTCACAAACTTTGCCAGCAAGATAAATGTCTTTTTGCCCCCTCGTATTCAGCAGAGTGTCAGAACTTAGAAGTATAATGAACGACCAAAAAACTCGAAATAGAGATGCCGAAAAGGGTATCGTGGCCCTTATCCTACGCAAAGTGGATGACCTGGACTTTTCGAAATATTGTAATTAATGCATTGGTAAATATCACGGCGTAAGAGATTTTTGTGATGTTGACAAGGCCTTATTACCACTTAGGATAGCTCAGAACCCCAAAAAAGCCGATAGTTTTCCAAAATTCTGTTTTCTCCTTATAAAAACAAGGAGAGTGGATGTTGGGGGCCCCTGAAAGAACGTTGTATCTAAAATCCGACGTTTTCTTAATCGGGTCATGGATATCGTTAGAGGATGTGTTGCATAAAGTAGGCATATCATTCTACTTCTTTGTGGCATAAATATCACTGATGAACATGAAAATTCAAAGCAATATCATGAAATTATCAAAGATTCACATCTCTTTACCTTAAAGTTGTCTTTGCTGCCTTATTATCATGGTGGTAGGGAAGCCGATTGTCATAGGCTTAGGCCCCGGTTCGAATTCCGGAGAAAGCATTCTTATTTGTAAATGTATAGTGTCTCTGCAGCACAGTCACACTTAAAATATTTTGTGTGCGCATACAGTTGATAGACTGTGTACTTCGTGTGTGCATACGGAGAAATACAAAGTGCTTGACTTCTCGAGAGCATATACCTGTCGGGAAGTTGATAGGAGTGGCTGAATGTTAGGGTATTTAGCATATACGACGAGTCGAAGTCCATTGGAAAATTTGGTGGTTGAAGAAGAGTGTTAGAAGATCTTTCGACCCGACCCCTAGCGATTCTCCTTCAAAACTGGACGGATCTGTGGAAATTCGTATTTTTATAAGCAGGCCTATGCTAGCAACATGGGCAATTCTTGCTCTGTTGGCCCCGGTAGAATTCATGGACTAGATCAAATGAAGTCAGACAAGAATAAAGATATCTTTCCATCTATAGTCAACCGTAATTTCATTAGGTAGATCTTAATTCTGGTAAAGTTATAGTTAAAATATTCTAAACCTTTCTTAAACTATGCATTGTCTAAAATCCTCTGTCTTATTAAAATTTTATGAGATTGTTTACTCATTGCTTACTCAAAAAGTTATTTTCGTGGAAAGAAACATACCCTTTTTGCATATTAACAGTTCGAATTTCTAAAAGCTAGAGAGCAAAAGTGCATCCATGCATCTTCTTTCTCATTTGAATTTGATGGCACATACATTATACGACACCTTGACTAAAATCACATTTAATCTTCAAACACAGTCAAGAGAGAGAACTGTTTAGAATTTCATTACTTTCAGCAATACGAAGTATTTGAAAAATTAGAAATAAAAATGCTAATGCGACTTTTAAAGTAAGAAGGAATCTTACCGAAACCATGCGAAATACTTATTATCCAATAAGCTTCCTTCCAAGGATGAAACTGCGTCTAATAATTTATTGCTTTGGGCGGTTTCCTAAAGAGAGTAATTTGCATTTTAAGAGGTATTTTCTGCTACGTATTCCTAATGCGTTCCTAACGATTCCTACTTAGTTCAAGAAAATTAAAATCACGGAGTGATCGCCCAGTTTTTTTAATTCTAAACTACAAAACATTTCTAACAGTCTTTTTTCGTTCTCACTGCATTATGTTTTTCTTTTCTGCCATTTCTTCTTACTCTTTTTATTTTTTTTAAATTGGGGATAATTTTGAAATTTTTTCATGTTACTTGAATATCGGTTTAGACAATGCATAATTTTTATTTGGAACTTAAAATTACTTAGTTGTATCTTTGTCTGTCATATATATGTTCTAATTATAATATGAGGATTTTAGACATAGACTATAACGATTCTAGACATATATTCCCACTTACGAAGTTTCTTAAAATAAAATAGGGAATTTAATGAGAATAGTTTGAAAAGTAGGGATAAGTGAGGTCTTGTACGTATCTAACTTTTTTTTTTTTTTCTTTTCCCAACGGCTGGACACTTTGCCAGCGAAGCATCGGGAAAGGCTAAACTCCTAGAATTTTTCAGCTGTCTTACCACCAAGAACATTGCGCAGGGTGCACCACAGAGCCGCCTGAATTTACACCGCGCAGGAGTAAGTTTCCTAATTTTGATAGAAAATACGGCAGGGGACGGATCCAAGCTTCTTCGACTCCCCTTTCCCTATCAGTAGGTGTCTTGAGAGATGCTCTCAAGTATTTTAAGATCTATCCTACCAACAGATGCTATATAATCACAAAAATCCTAGCTTTCTCTGGGAAGTTAAAAACATCTAGTCACGAGAAATTCAACAGTGCTTTGCAGAATTAAATGCAAGGGGTTCCTTATCTTTATGAGCAATATTCGCAGAGATATTCATAATTAATATTAGCTTGAAGCCTGCTACAAATTTAATATAGCTAATACTGTTTTACACATTACAGAACCAGTCATCGCCTCGAGATCTTCTTTCGTACTTGCTTTCTCCATTTGAGTGAAATATTATGGACTATTTAATTTTGATTTAAAATATGCACTGAAAATCGAAACTAAACTAAGAAATTTGTTCTTTAATATCTTAGAAAAGTTTGCAGCTAGAGGTATGGAACTTCTTGTAGTATTGTACTTACAGTTTTCATTTTAAGTATTTGCTAACTGATACTTTGTATGAATAATATAAAAAGTTTGATTCTGTATTTACAGATATTTTCATTTCCAGCGCTGAAATTGTTCTCATAAAATTCTCCACTTTATTTTGAAAACCTTTATGGTTAGAAGTATATGCCAAGGATCAATATTTAGCGAAGTGTAGTACATTATTTGAACACCTTGTATATTATATGTGAGAGACGATATTAAAAAAAATAAACTTTTTAAAAAACAGAAATAAGTATGCAAAGGTATAACAGTTTGTCTTCTTAGAAAGAAAAAATGTGTTGGATATTATCCTCTCTAAGAAAAATTTGGAAGGAAATTAAACATGAATGAGAAGCTGAAATTAAAAAATCTGATGTGTACACTACATGACTTCCTTGTATGGAATATTAAATTATACGCATTTTTCTTGCATTTCATTTAAACTTATTGGATTGAATTAAATCTACTTCGCCGACAGCGCATAAACCACAATAGAATAAATGCATTCCTTAAAATTCATTCTAGTATTTGTTTACTATAGCGACACTCTAGCGCTAGATTCACTTAACAGTATTATATTTTGTTCATATTATAACTCATTATGCACAAAATTTATATCATTTAAAGAATAGAATTATCTAATAGTTGCTAAATGTTCTATTCAAATACTATAATAAAGCTAGAATGATGTATGAAAGAAATTAAGCAAACAAAACAAAAAAGAAACAGTTTTTCACAGACGATTGAGCATTTCTCATTCAATTAATTCAGTTCTCACTTCACGAGAAGGCAAAAATACATAAAAACTCAAAATATCTATATTAAAAATTACGAAGTAAATCTTAAACACGTATTTCCTCGAAAAAATTCCAGAAAGGATTAAGCATGATTTAATTGGAAATAATAAATGAAGGCGAATAAATCTTTGTTGTTGTGAAGCTAAGTTTCTCTAGATTGGCAACATTTCCACTAGTCTGCTGTTTCAAATGTAAACAATCAATGGCCGCCATAAAAAAAAAAGCTTAGCGGCACTTAAACAACTTTAAATTGTTGATAATTCTAAAAATATTGCATACAGATTTACTAAAGGCATAAAAACCTTAACCAGAAGATAAGAACAACATAATTCAATCATTTTAAAAGCAAAAAATGTACAATTTACAAAAATATACGAGTAAAGAAACTGAGATCACTGAGCCGGGTAACAGAGTGGATATATATATAAATATATTTATATACGTTAGGTGCGGCCGATTGCAACCAAAATACGAGGTGCACATCTACATGTTATAGCAGTCCTATATACAAAATTTCAACGTTCTGAGGCTACTCGTTTTTGAGTTATGCGAGATACGTACGTACATACGTTCGTAAAGACGCCACAAAAAATTATCTTCAGAATTAATTTTAAAGCAGTTTTATAATTTTTTTGGAGGAAACGAGTCTTTATTCTGTCCTTACGTACAGATATCACGCAAAAACATCGTTAAATTGCATTCGATAGCGGTCAAAATGGATATTTTCGTTGAAATATTCTGCCTGAAACTTTTCGCGATTACAATACTTCCTTTTTACTTCGTACAAGGAAGTAAAAAAGAGACATCAGTATGAAAACATGAAAAATTATTACATTTGTGTGGTTTAAAACGCATTTTACATTTTGATATTTGTAGAGGTATTTTTTTCAGTGAAAGCTCTTTACTTTGTTTTATTTTAAACAATGTTAAACAGCAAAATACCATTCTGAGTCATCTGCACATAGCATCATGAAATTGTACAATAAGTTATGTACCTAAGAAGTAAAATTTCCTGGCATACTTTGGGGTGTCTATTGATAAACTGCTACCGTTACAGTTATCCTTAGGAATTGTGCAGAAAATATGGTTATGTATTTCCGTTCCTTTGTGACAATCATCTCTCAGTTCGAGGAATCGTCTACCTTCTAAAATTATTTTTCCAATAACGATTAATCTTTTATTTGCATTGAATGAAGAGAATCATATGTTAAGTTAACTAATATGAGTAAGAAGTGTTAGCCTTTTTAAAAAAGTTTTTGTGAAACGTAACAAGACCTGCAAATTTTAACTTTGAAACAGATTTAACAGAAAAAAAAATCTTTATAGTAACAAAGTTTCATTTGATCAGTCGAAAAAAATCTGAGATAAAAATAGTACATTTATTTATTTAACCGCTAAAAATAAGCTGCGTTATTCTCATCACGAGTTTAAGCAAGATACAGGTATATAAAATAAATTCTTTAGTTAAGAAAGAAAGATACAATGTTCCTCACTATTTTGTCTGTGATAAAATGTCGAGGAACCTAGTGAACTATATAACGACTTATCGCTAAGTTCCAGTAGACAACATAGACTCGAGAAGAATTAAAATACCCTTTTATGCAATCAAATAAATTATAACAGTTGGCCCCTTCTTGGGCTTACAGGAAAGTTTCCCCTCGCGCTTGTAAATCAGGATAAGAAACTAATGTAATACTAACTAAAATAGACTTAGCCGAAGCTAGACACAAATAGCTAACGTAGTTGTCCCTTAATTTAAACTAGCCGGCGAATATCAATAGGCACGTACAAATACGGCCGAGCGTAATAGATTCAAGAATGGAATAGCCAGAAGGCAAACACGCGCCACTAAGGACTCCTAAGCACTCTCTATTCTTGAAGTAAGTAGAACTCTCTTTAAATACTATTTCTACTCATTTGCATTCAGCGTGATTCTGAAAACTCATTTTGGTAGGGAGTTGTAAGTGGGATACAAGAATTGAAAGGAAAGGGTTTCAAAATTTAAATTATTGTTATAAAATTAAAATGCACCTTACCAAGAAATCATAGGATTTTTGAATAAATTAATATATTTTTCATTTTCATTATATCCGTAATTGCAATTCATGTGGAACCCTAAGTGACTTTTTGATCGGGTTTGTTAAGTTAACATTCTTTTAGTTGAATAAAAATAAAACCCACTTAATGAGGTTGCTTATCAATTTTTAAACTTGTTCGTACAAATTTCACTATAATTGTTTATTCCGGCAAATGGCTAATAAGAGAATTTTTTAAATATTTTCAGGTAAATTGCAACTGTTCTTAATGGTCGTGGTGTTGGTAAGTAAAAAAAAAAAATGTATACTAGAATTATTATAATACACATAATTTAATCAGTACTTATATGGAACGGCGAAAGACTGTAGATGGAATTACTTTAACTGTAATTATCTTTCTGTATTAATATATTTTTTTAAAGTTCCACACATTTAAAATATACATTTCCAGTTCAAATTTAAATGCTTTATTTGATAATTAATATCACATAAAAATGTTGAAAATTATGTAACAATTATTCTTCTACAGTTTTTCCTAGTTCTTCTTCTACAGTTTTTCCTTAGTTCTTCTTCTGATAAGTAATTTGACTCTAAAATAAAATTAAATCCTTTAAATTCAATTTTCAGTGTGAATTTATAATAAATATAGATTGACGTTAAATTGTATATAACGGAGATCATTAAAATAATGAATGTTTGTTTTTCACTATGTTCTGACTAAAGTTTGCGATAATTTAGAACCCCAAGCTGAGAAAGTAATTTACTTATAACCTGAAATTTAAAAAATTAAAATCTTTGGAAGAATAAATGAAAATTACATTCCTCTTTCAACCGTATATTTTTCGTTGAAATTTGCAGTTATCAACTGCCTGTTAAAATAAGTGATTAAAAAAATTTGGTACGCAGTTATTTAGCATGTTATTTTTATAGTAAAAATACTTTTTATCCTAATCTTGCCTTTGTAATTTTATGCTATCAGAATTTAAAAAAGAATTTGAAGAATAGTAGATTATCAGCATTCTTAAAATTTAATATTATTTCTGGATTAATACATTATAAAGTATACCTCCCCCCCCCAATATTTGCGTTTAATTTTTCATAGCTATCGATCTAAATGCAGGTCTAAATGCACTTGACAGTTTTATTGGTTGGTTGAAATGTTTCTTACACTTCTTTAAATCGCTTGTAGTAATTCCCATTAGAAAAAAAATCTTTTAGGCCTTCTTTTGAGCAAGAATACAGCTGTTTAAAATCTTGATTATTAAACACTTACCTTTTTTTTAAATTGTTGTAACTTTAAATAAATTCTATTTGGACCTTAAATACCTTTAAAATCAAAAGAATTTTATCCAACTTTCAATACTGTATTCAAAGCGATGGCTACTCAACAAAAACTTATTCACTCGTGAAACAGTAGTAATAATAATTACTTTGAAAAATAACTTGATCTTAATTAGATCTTAATGGATTAAAAAATGGCTGTTATATTTTTCACAAAGCTACATTAAATAAATGAGACAACGTTTAAAATATCAGTTGCAAATATATGTAAAAGCGTGAAGAACTAAGTTAATGAATAAAGCATTGATTAAAGAAGTGCTGACCATTTCGCCTCTTTCAAAGCCCTTTGATGTTAGTAGCGTCTTACAACCAAAAAATAACCGAAAGAACGAGCTCCCAAAATATTTAATTTGAAAATGGGAACTGGTTGGATGAAGACAGAATAATAATACTTTTAACAACAATAATAATAATGATATAAAATATTACAGAGTTTAAAGTTAAATTGAAATTGTAGTAACCTCTAGAACTAAGAAAATGCAGAAGCTCATTTCTATTTTTACAGTTCCAGCATCTGTTTGCTGAGAATTACTTCTTTTACAGCATATTAAAGGCTTTAAAATTGTGTTAAGCGATCAGGAATTAAAGATTGCATTAAATACGCTATAAATAAACATAAAACGCGCTAAATAAATACACAGCTAAACAAAAGAAAATATACATCGATGTTAAATGCGCGAAATTAAAATACTAACAAAGCCATATGAACAACAACAATATTAATTACAAAAGCTGAAACATTATGTCACACATGCTTTATGTTTTTTTTGAGGGAAAAGGAATGCAACTGAGGGTTGAAGTGGGAAAAGTATTAACGAACTAGTGGCTTTAAAATACTACATTGCAACAGGAGTGTTTAGAAAACAGCAATTTATTAAGCAGGTTTACAAGTTTTACATTTTTTCAGAAATAAGAATAAAATTTATAGTTTATAAAAATAATAATTTAGCTATGTTGAAAGTAAAGTCCCAACGAAAGCAAACATAATTAAACAAAGAATGTTTTTTAATGTTTCGGTAAGATATGCCGAATATAGAGACTTAAGCGTATTGCGTAACGAGAGATTGAAAATACATGTATGAATAAATATATGTTAGTGCATTTACCATAAACTCTTTTTGTATTGGTAAATTTTACATTTCTTAAAAATATTTGGGCACAGTAGTGAAGACTATTTCGTGTATGCGGTCTATTCATTAAGTTCATTGTTTTTGATAGAAATCCTAAATAATGGGAAAGGAGATTTCATAACAGCTTTTCTTTACAGGCCATTACGACTATTTGCGCAGATATGATGCGCAAAAGTATTGTTTTCGACGAAAAGAATCCCAAGTTCTTCTATTGTCCTCAAGAAAAGCCAAAAGGAATGAATAAAATGCTCGTCAAGGCTAGGCCTATTGACAAACTTTGTGAATTCGAAGGCTCGCCACCTAAAGAATTCAAATCTGATTGTTACAATGACATTGACGAGTCAGATTATGCATGCGCAGAAAAGGAAAGGATTATGGTATGTATAATTGTTAAAATTGTTGCTCAGTTTTACAAAGACTTCGAAACTAGATTTGTATTGCTTATCAGTGTCGTATTATTGCTGCTTACATGTTAATATTAATTAAAATAATGAAATGTGGTCTTCATGATTTGATTATTTTAGTAGAAGGAACCTCTTGTAATACGATACTGTATTATAAGAGGGTTGCTTGTACAATGAAACGTCTCACAGTGATTGCCTCTCTGAAATGATCAGCTCTGAAAGTGACTGTATTTCTGAGAGCATAAATAAAAGTCAGTATTGAATATCTCTGATAGTCGCGTTCTTCAGCTCTTCATAGGAGGCATTTGATCTTCACGTGATCAGTTGCTTAGAAGGCCAACTCCACATAGTATATCTGCAAAGTGTCTGGTTGTCTCACAAAGAAGTTCCACCAACCTCGAACTTTTAACATTTACTGAATGGTCTTGCCGAAAGGGCGTTTTTATGGCTTTCTCCATGCGTAGTGTGTATACGAGCCAATTTCCCCGAGAAGTCCTCCACGAAGGCATCCTTCCCCTTAGGCAGATAGCCCTTATCTTACTTTGCTATAATAAACTAAACCAAATTCAGGAAACTTGCATCTGTTGATGACTTTTTTAGCTTCTCTTTAAGAAAAAACAAGGAATTATCAACTATTATTTAATGTTTATTGCTTTGATTAATTTACTTTTATTTCAACTTTGTTTTCCAATTGGCTTCAAATTATTTTTATTTGCACTTTCCTGTTTAGATAGTTCGCCACCCTTGGTAATTTACTGTTTGTATAAAGTATATCTCCTGAACATACAGAAAGAGACCAGCTGTACATTTTCAAATCAATCTAGAGTTGGGGACCTTCCTGGTTAAGGGGTTTCACTACGTATTTTATCTTTATGGGACAAAATAACTGAAATTAGTTTGGAGTTCAGAAAACGGTTTTATTTTTTAGAAAGTTATCACCAAACGTTTTCTACTTACTCCACACAAGAAATTATTTAATATTCTCAAATTATGAAACTAAAAATTTAAGAATAATTGATATAGTTAAGAAAACACATTATCATTTTTTGACCGAGCTGTTCGTAGAAGTTTCACAGATTTATAAGAACATTAATTCTAAAGAAATTCTGTAATTTTTAAAATTAATTGATATCGTTTTCCTGACGAGAAGCATTTACATTTAATCTCGAGACGGAACATGATCATTGTAATTGGATCATTATCTCCGTAGGAAAAAAATATTGATTTGATTAATTATTTGAAATCTTTCTCAGTTGTTCTCAACTATTCCACACTCAGTCTAATTTCCTGAATACCTTCGGGACCATCTGTTCTGTGGCACGAACATTAATAAAACCATGATGAAAACAAATGTTAAATTTAAATTTTCAAACATTCAAGGTTAATTTATATTTACCTAAGCATTAAAAGTTTTCTACCACATAATTTTCTAAAGATATTAGATTACATTACATTTAATTTAACAAGTGCTATGCAAGTAAAAATGAATTTATATGAAAAGTCTTAAATATTTTACACTGCATATTCGTTTCCTAAATATAGATAAAGCTATCACTTTAAAAATTTTTATATTTTAGTTCTTAAATTGGGCAGAACTGTTAAGAAACTTTAAAAATCTTCTATAGTTAGGTGTTACTTCTTTCAGTATATTTTTAAAGGGGGGATCAACTTGGCGAAAAAGGCCTTGTCTAAAAAAGATCCTTTTTAGAACTCCATCGAGGTTACTTTCACAGACTCTGTTCTTGTAAATAACATCACGTTCAAAAAACTTTATAAACTTCTTAAGCAGCAATCTCCTTCATGCTATAAAAATACTTATAGAAATTTTTTCACTCGATTGAAAATTTCTTCTTTTAGTTTTTTCCGCTCTGTAAAATCTCGGAATAAATTCCTGCTTTAGTATTCGGTTGAAGTTCTTTTAGCAACAAATGCTGTAACGCGCAGTTAAGCATGGAGCACATGGAAGTGAATCACACATATTATTCAGCAAAACAAAAACACAAAACTGCGTGTTAAATTTGCAGAATTAATTTACTGTTTGGTCCATTTCTTTTCTGTTTTCTCTAAGTGGCATTAAAAATATTCCAGAAAGTAATAGAATTTTTAAGTACAGGAAACATCCTTCAGTTTATAAATTGAAACTTTAATAGGAAATATTCGATTGGAATTTTCTAAGACATCCAGAAATGTCTTTTTTTTTTCAGTTTAAAGAAATTCTTTGTGTTAAGAGATATGGAATAACTATCCTTTTAAAAGAAAAGGAACTAATATTTACTTTTTCTGTTAATAAATTTAAATCTGTAATTACCGTTGATTTGAAATAAAATCTCTTAATTAACGCTGTCAGATACCTGTCTGTCATCAGTTTCAGACAAATTATTTTTATTATTATGGTCCAATTTTTAAGTTTTTGGAAAATAATACGCAAATTATTTCTGCATAGAAATAAGTTATTTTCACTCCAAAATATTTGGGAAATCGGTTGTTTTTGCATTTAAAACAGGAAAGCTCAACTGTTTGTCTAAGAGGAGTTTCTTCGTGGATCGTTTTCTGAGGAAAACTGACTGAAAGGCTTTGTATTTCAGCATTTTTCCAATAATTTCACTCATTAAGCACAGATTTTGTAATCACGCTGTTTAATAACCATACATTAGGCATTTTTATTAAAATTAAAGTTAGTTATAAAATGTAATTCATTCAAATTAAATTCCCTTACTTTTGAAATAATTTTAGATAATAGGGAAGACATAAACGTTTCTAACAAGAACATTAAAACACATTTTTTAAAATTTTAAATGTATGAAAGCAACGCTTGAATTCCAGTTTTTATTATTATTATTAGATTGAGTAACATTTTGTAGTCTTTATCGTCAGTCTTGCCTAGGTTTTAGAAAAATGTGTAATTAAGAAAAATTATGTAAATGATCTCTTATATATATGAGAGGGATTCTTTATATTTTCGTGGTAGAAATTTTGAGTTTGTTTAATCTAGAAGGCATTAACCGGATTCTTGATTAACCGCAGTATTACGGAGAATGATATCTACATTGATCAATGTTTGATTCATAATCATAGTTAATCTGATAGTTAAAAACACAGGAAAGAGGAAAAATCCTCCGTGTTATAATTAACAGAAAAAAAAATCTGAAATGTTTCAGATTTTAAATTACGTCCAAAGGGGCGTTTTTTAACATTTTGTGTGTTACCTTTCTTTATTAAATATCATGTTCCTCGCACTTAAACCATAAGATCCAGTGCAACAGCAATATCGCAAAATAGTTTTAAAACGAGCATATCTTTAGAATTTCCGATACAGAGACTCACGCGCTGGAGATAAAAATGTTTTTTCTGCACAACGTTGCCATTGCTCGCTTTGAAATCCTTGAGTTTGTTAATCAAAAATTCGTCAAAGTTTTAAAAAATAGGAAATCGATCATAAAACAAATTTAAAATTTAAAATTTGGTTTTCCACATGCTCATATTCGTTGGAGGATTACGTTATTCAAAATTCGATGACTCTATGTACCGTTGTTTTATCACAATACGAGAAATATACATACATTTATGCAGATTTTTCATTATTTAATTTCTTCAAATATAATGCAGGACTCTAACATTTTGTGGCAACAGTTTGAAAAGTGAACCGACATTTATGAGTCCGACGCAAAATGCCAAAACGAAACTAATAGTCCTTCGGGATTCAAATCCCTTTGGACTAATAATATTAAAAATTTATTTCATTTTCAAGCAATTTAACCCTGGAGACCATGTTCATTTGCTAATGGAAATTAAATTAGTATTCAGAACAATATGTAAATAAATGAAATACTGTAAATAACGAAAGAACAAACTTAATTATAAAGCAATATGCATAGTAATTTGAGCAATGTCATTGCTCTCAAATTGCTGTATGAAAATTTATTAAAACTTTTTTTTATTATACAATGTTTATATATTTTGTATTACATACAGTTAAATTATGTGCTGATGCAGACAAAACATCTTGTCCTTCCTTAACTGGGAAAAAAAAATTTAGACCAATTTGCCCCCTATTCAATCAGTTGCTGATTGTATAACAAGTACTTTATGTTTATTAGAAAATTATCTCTATTAAACTGTCGCAAAGCTTAAATCAAAAATCTCCGCGTTTCATGTGGAAGAGAAAATGATTTAAATCTATTGCTAATCTTTCTTCCTTACCTCAAAGTTATTTTCCTTTTTTAAATATAAAATTCTTGCCTTTTTTTGACTAAAATTTTTCTTCTCTAATTTTTAACATCTTTTAATCCATTGCATTGTGATGGTTAAATGACGGTGTGTCAAAAGTCTTATGAAATTTTGAAATATGCGCCAAGAATAATGACTTTATGTCAGTGTATATCAAGAATGTTAGCGAGATATCTAGGGAAGAAATAAGTGATTTTCAAGTTCTGAAAATTTTAGTTAAAAAATAACTGATTTCACAGCTATGAAAGTTTTGGCAATATATAAAAACTACCGTAAAAACAATAGCGCTATTATTGATGCCTTTAAGCTGGGAGGAGGGAGTTTTTCACCGTATTTTATTAATTGGCAGTTAGGGAATTAATGGAATATTGATGATTTCTGCTAGCATATTTATTTAATGCTAGGTTTAAGAAAATGTATATCTATTAATAAAAATACTTTTCTTTTTTATAGATGCGGTTGAATCCACCTAATGACACTGATACTACAACTATGTCTACTACTACTGCGAAGTCTTATTTGAAGACAAAGCCTAAGAAGCAGTAGTCATTCTACATTTATATACACTTATATTTGATATCTTTGGCAGCTATATGAACAATTTTTATTCATTTATGTGATAATTTATTTTTAATATTTTTAATTGTTTTATTGCTGATAGTAATTCTCTTTAGACTTATACATGGTTACTATTTATGAACATGTGAAAAAGGATTTTATTTATTGAATCGTATTGGTAAATACTGTTTTTGATTGGTTGTAGAAGCATGATTAAAAGAAAGATTAATTTTTAACGCTTACTAATACTGTGTTTTGTTTTAATGTTTATCTAGGTTTGGTTTTTGAAGCGGTGATTGTAGGGATTCAGTGATTTTTATTTTAGATGTTTCACTGAATAACATTTAAATTCCTGCGATTTTCCACAACAAAAATGAAATAAATTTGAATAAGTACAATTCATCTTTTCATATAAGAAGTATGCATTTTTCTATAGCTATTGAAACTGAAGAATGATCGAAGAAAAATTCAAAAAGTTATATGAGTTATAAATTTTCATTTTAATACGGTGTACTTTATAGCGGAAATAAAGAATGCTTTTCCATTTTATTGGTATATGTAATTTTATTGTTAAGCAATATTTTGCAGTGAGGAATGCTTTTCCATTTTATTAGTGCATTTAGATTCATTGTTCATTAACATGTTTTCCAAAAACGAAAAGCTATCATGGTATCATATAAGAATTTAGTACAGAGTATCCAAATGTTTATTGTACTGGGATGTTATTTAGTTAAATGTATACTGTACTGTCAGTTTGTGTACTGTATAACTATTTTCTTTAAAACCACTAGTTGAGCGACAAATTTATTGATAATGTAAGGAATTAAGGATATTTAATAGCTTTCTTTTTAGGCTATTGATTTTTTAAATTTTGTTTATTTGAGATGAGAAGATGAAGTAAATTAAATGTCTGTTAATTTCCATTTTTTCAAAAACCAATAATTTTTACTTTATCCTGTAGATAAGTTCATACTGATAAATGTTATTTTTGATTTTGTCAAGTAATTAAACTTAAATTACCTGACTGATTTATTAATTTTAAATATTAACGTTAGCATATTTTTAATATCCACATTGAAAAGTGAATACTAATTTTACATTTTCATTTCAGTACTTGAAAGTTATGGGATTTCGCTAATTTAAAGTTCCATTCTTTGAAGCATCTAATTACGGATTAAGTTGATTGAAATTAAGTAATAAAAGTATTAAAAATAATTTGTCTGCTTTTATTGATATATTTTGATATCGACAAACTCATCTCAGCAGTTTTCATTTTATATTGCCTAAATGCTTCGGTTATGTCTCATTTAAGACTTTTTTAAAAAATCTTCCCATTTCGCGATGAAGTAGGTAAGAACAGTTCACTTTTCAGCCTCTCTGTTCAAGATCAAAGCTAAATTTGAAAATGTGATCGAAGGCCATATAAATTTAAAATATGAATGAAATGATGTTGCAATGACGCTTCGTCCCTTAAACATAGTGCTCGGCTTAGTCAGTAGACATTAATGTCATATTAAAAATACAGTAAGCATAATTTTTTAAAAATTTGATTCAGTATTGTCTTGAGATATGGCCACGTCGATTTCTAAGGAATAATTTCGCTAAAATTATTTTGATAACTCTACAACTTAAATGAAAACAAAAATTGACAATTTTTAAGAATTGGGTTACGAAGAAATCTAATTAAAAAAAAGAAGAAGAAAGCTCCAAAGACTCGCTGCTACTGCAGTTTTCAATGAATTTTAATGATATACTTTACACATCATTAAAATTCAATACTTTTAAAAATTAGTGACCTAATGGAATGGCTCAGTTTTTGATTTCTTATGATGGCTATCTGCAGAAGGAAAGGAAAAACCTGAAGTGGCATTATTTTTGTCACCTTCTTCGAAAAGGCCTGAACAACTGAAATAGGCCATCACGATTAATTGGCTTCTTTTTAATAAATTGAATCATCTGTAGATCCTTTAATACACGATGCTAATCTAAACGGCTAAATTGTACATCTTCATAAAAAAGAATTCTTGTTTTTTGCTTTAAAACTCGTGCATCATATTTTATACTGTGAATTTCGGATAAAATGCTTCGAATTTTTAGTATGCAGGCCTTTAACGCCTTTTTAAACTGTTTGTTAGAAAGAAAATTACTGAGTTCTTAATATGAATTTCATCATGATATCTTATATATATATAAGATTTTTTAGAATATTAAGAATCGAACTATGTTGGGGACAGGTGGAAATAAAGTAAAATTCATCTGTTATTTTAGAATTTAGTTAATTTATGAAATAGGAATTCATGAGCGCTTTAAACTACTTTAGATCCGGTCAAAAACATGGCTCAACTAAAGAGTTTTAATTATTAAATGAAGAAGGACTAATTTTTTATGGGCTTACACTTGAGAAAGACCTAAAAAGGTTCAGTCTTTATTTATTTGTTTAATTAATTTATTGCTTTTCAATATTTCTTATATTCATTTCTCCAAATATTAAATTTAATTATAGTTAATTTTTATTAATTCCATTTCCGAATCTAATTCTAAAGCATTATGTGTTTAGTAATTAAAAAAATAGATGAAAGTTTTCCCCTTGTATATGTTTACAGGCTTTATAATACATGCGTAATGTGTATAATTTATATTCTTTCTTTTTTATTATATATATATATATATATATATATAGGGAAAATATGTTTTTATTAAGAAAATATATATAGGAAAAATATATTTTTTAAATACTTTAAAATAGCTTAAAGAAACCAAAAAAAAAAAAAAAAATACAAACCAACTAAAAAAATAATAAAATTAATAAACGGTTAATCAACCTAAAATTCAAACCATGATATATTTTATAATAATTTAACAAAATGAAAGGTTAATGATATTAGAGAACAGGGGTGTCCATAACACGGCTCGCGAGCCGAGTACAGCTCTCTCAGGTGAGTAGTATGGTTCTTACGCAAATGAAATACTCGTATATATAATGGGGAATATAGTAACCTAAAAATTGCTTAGTGTCCGAGAGAAAGGCATTAATTTAGTGCATTTTTTTTTTTTTTTTTTTTTTTTTTTTTTTTTTTACAAATTTACCAGGCTTTTGTTTTCCATCTGAAACTTGTTTTCCTATTTTTGAAATTATGTAAATAATGACTTAGAAAATTCTTTCGAGCTCTTCTGAATTCCAGCATTCGTCTCTTACTGATATGAAGTTTGGCCACCTCCGTTATCGAATAATAAAGATTGCTTTAAGCATGCTCTCATCAGGGTGAAGAGGCGCCTAAAATAATCTTAATTAATCAATTAAAAGCAATATTTCTGAAATTATACAAGACAAATACAGGTAAAATTCTGAGTCCCAATTTTTTAAAATTCCGAGAATGGCAAACAAATAAAAATGTGGCCTGCTTAGTATAATTTAAGCTTAGTATAATTTAAGCTTAGTATAATTTAAGCTGAGTATAATTTTATTCCAAAATCAATCCTTTATTTAATTAAATATAATCAAAAACGGAGTAAAACCAATAGTATAGCCAAATTTCCTAAATTAAGCAAATTTTAAACACTTTACTTCAAATACAAATTAAAAACGAATATGCAGTGAATAACTTTATTCTGAGATAAGTAGAATAGTAATGAAAATAAAATTGCCACAATTAGTCAAAAATCCTAAATTTAGCAAATTTTAAATTATGAAATCAAGCCCAAAACAAAAAGGCAATGTCTAAAGATACTTAATTTTATTACAACAAATATAGCACTAAACTAAAACGATTAGTTACTTAATAAATATGCCTAAAGTTACTTAAATTTATTACAATAAATATAAGCTTCAAACTAAAATTAACGGTAAGTTATTTAATTCAAATTAGGAACAAAAAGATAAAATATTGCCATAATGCTAAAGTCCTAAATTTACCAAAGTTTAAACACTTTAAAATCCATAATCAAATTAAAGCAAATGAGCACAGCGCCTAAATTTAATAAATTTAATTAAAAATTGATAAAAAAAGATATCTATGAAAAAGGGCCTGAAATACATCTCCCACGTGCGATTGATAACAGTTTGGAAATGGTGGAAAGGCAAAAAGTAATTTAGGCAAATATTAATGTTTAAACAATGAAAAAATAAATGCAAAAAAGAAAGCACTTTAAAATAATACATTTAAAAAGATCAGTGCAACGAAAAGGGGGAAAAACAAAAATTTTCAGTGGTACAATCGCAAAGCAACATTGATGGCGAAAGGAGGAAATGTGGTTGCTATTGCGCAATTTCTAAACTCGGCAGTTGCCAATTTTCGGATCTAAATACTAATCTTATTATTTTTGTCATTTATTTTTATCATTTTTGTATAATTTCGGAAATATTGCTTTTAATTAGATTAATTTAAACATGCCTTCCCCTCTGATGAGAGGGTGTTTAAAGAAATTTTAATTATTCAGTAATACAATTAACTTTTTACTTCATTAAACTTTTGTTTTATTAAATTATTTAAAAAAATGTGTCGTCTTGGCAAACTAACCGTTTATTAATTATATTTTATATCAATTAAAATTTAATTACATTTATTATTTTATATAATATATCAAGCAAGGTAGTAATTACAATACTGAATGACCAATTTGGTCTAGAAAACATCATGCGCAATATGCTGCAAAATAAGTAAATTAGAAATTGTAGTAAGTTCGCCTAAACGTTACCAGGAGCTGTTGCTCCAAAAAGTTCAACACGTTTAAAAAAAATTAATACATATGAAAATCAAACCATTGAACATGTAAAACATTAAAAAACAAAATCAGATAAAAAAGTAAGCGGAAAATGGTAAATTAGCCTCACTCGACTTCCAAACTGGCTTTTCAAGGGAAATTTTATTTGCTTGAACGTCGAATCAAGCTAACCCCATTACGCGTTTCGCCGAAACAGACAATTGAAACTTTATCGCTACAAAATTTTTTAATTTAGACAAAGTGTCTTGGAAAAATTTAATAGTCTCAATTCTCTGTTCCAATTTCCCGACGCGTCCGCACAAAATGACACATTAAGGTGTTAAAATATGTAAAAACTATTCCGATACATTTTAAATCTAGTTATATTTTTTGATTTCTAGAGGAAGTTTTAAAGTCTTTAAAACATATATTTTTCAGTAATTTTGCTGCATTAGCCCAATTTGCTTTTCCATGAAACTACACGTTTCTCGCACATTTACTATACTTATATCGAGTTTCAACGAAAGTTTCCCGCCAAGCAAATGTCGTTTGCGCAGAGATTTTGCAATGGCTATTTAATCATATTTTGCCAAACGATTTTTGGCATTTGAAAGAGATTTGCTTTAGAACAGAGCTGTCCAACTTATCATATCCCGCGGGCCGTATTTTCTTCACCAAACATTTCGGGGGCCAAGAAGGATGATAAATGAAAAGTCAGTTCATGTTAATTAAAAAAATATTTTATTTATAATGAAAAGAAAACTCCAAAATAATCGTAGCATAGCTCTAGCACCGTTGGTTACAATAGCAGTGCACTTGTCAAATCCGCCATACTGTTCTACTGAACA